CACTACTTCTTACTGCAATAATGATTAATTTTTTTTGCTGACACACAAAATTGAACTTTTCAGAAAGCTTTACATCAAGTTAAACTGCAAGGAAATAACATGTACAGTTCTGATAATTTCACATAATTCTCAGTCATTTTTCAAAGAATAAATGAGAGAAAAAAAAGTTTGCTTTCCATTTTTGCTGGGAAGAATTTAAATTAAGTGAAATATCTTCATATAATTCAAATTATTTTGCACATATTCAAAAGACTAAGTTGTAGGTAGAAGTAAGAACTTAGATAATACCAAAATAGTTGAACAAATTAGATACGGCATTAGTTTTCAGGCATTTAAAGTAGAAGCCTCAAGCTTTTAAGCTTGCTGCAAGTTGAGAATTGATAATAGTTACTGAGAGATTAATTAGATTTTTAATAGTTAGTCTGATGCCTTGTGAAGGCTGACCTAGAACAGAGACTAAATGGAGCTAAATAATAAAGTAGGTATTTATTAAGAGTAGGTATTTATTAAGCACAACCCAAAATGGCCACAAAATAGATGACAGGTCATGGGGTCCCACACTTTTATAAGTTTTGTTCCATTAGCTTATTGGAGGTAATTGTCCAATGGCAGTTTTAGCCCATGAAGTCCCATCCTTCTTGTTTTCTATCTTCAGTCCACCATTGTTTATGCTCTTGAGCCTGAGATCTAGATCAGTTGCCTTTGGGTCCCCAGCTGGAGAAGATGTTTTGTCTACCTGCTCTGTGAAGAGAGCTTACTATCCCTTAATATGAAGCCTAGGCTTAAGACGCTAATGTTGTCATCTTATTGCAGGCGTTCCATACTGTTGTCCCCTTATCACAAAAGTTCTGTACCTTCTTGGTGTTTCTCATGGGCAGCTCCTCAGAGCACTGACTCCTTCTTCACAAAACAGCCAAGTGACTCTAGTTCCCTTTTCAACCAGCCACCCCACTCTTTTATAGCACTCTTCTTCTCATTGGTTACAGCTGTGGCCTGTTAAAGTCAGGCCTGTTCCTAATCTTTGATAATTGGCCCAGCTGCAACTCCTTAGGGGTAAGATTGCTTTCTGCACTGTGTTTATTTTCTTATGTTTTATCCCCCTACACACTAAAGCAGAATAGAATCTGAAAACTATAAAAGCTAAAACCTGAGGCATCAAGGCCATCTCTGAAAAAAAAGTTACTTGGCAGCAGTACAGTTGCGCGGTGAAGCTAGTCAGTAGGCAGGAAAGATGGGTATTAAGGTGGTGGCCTCTTAGATCACAGAAAGAAAAAAAATAGTAGTGGAATGAGAAGTTAGTTGGAGCTACTAGAACATCCTATGAAACCTATTCCTTCCAGTTGCTCTGTGCTCTGCAGCCACCAAAGGGACTGAGCAGAGCACTACCTGTGCTCCTGCCCTGTCAACTACTTAGGGCAAGCAGTGCCCTAAAGTCCCTTTCAGTTGCCCTGACACTCCTTTTTCCATCTCATCACTGCCAGCCTGGAGTATCAGCAGAGGGCAATAATCAGAGGGCTGAGTCAGCACAGGGAGTCTCTCAGTGATATCCTGTACCTGGGCCCCAGGGAGGCAGCACACTTCCCTGTGGGATGGGTCCAGTTGACATATGGGACCCTCTGTTCCCTCAGGAGGGAATCACCCACTACGACTACCATTCTTTTCTTTTTGATGTCAGAGGTGCTGGTCCTTCTGACAGACAGAGTGTAATTGGGAGGCTCCCTGGGCAGATAATTTTCTTCTGGGTCCTCTGGCTGACCCTCTAGATCCGGGGTCTCGTACCTGTTCCTAAGTGGCGCCTGGGTAGGGAATGGGGGTCTGGAGGAATTTTTATTACCTCCCCAAATAGAGACCCCTTTCCACTCCCCTTCATCCACCAGGTGTCCTATTGCCTGACAGTGGGAGGCATGGGAGTCATCTGACTCCTGGTGAGCCTCCCTCAAGGATGGAAAGGTGGAACTCCACCAATCTATTTCTATTTTAAGCAGCATTTAATGAGCAGCACTCATATTGTGCCTGGTATGTGACAAAATGAAACAGATTTGCAGAATAAATCATATGTATCTACAACATCTATTATAAATATAGTATTTTCTAAAATATGGTTTTCTTATTAATATACACTTCATTGTAATTGGTTTGGTAAAGCTGCTAGGATGAAGTGAAACCATCTCATACCAATATGTATTTTAACACTACTGATTTTATCAGCTGCAGAAAATAGCAAAATTGGTTTATTACAAATTATTATTTACAAACTTGATTGTGATTTTTTCGGTGAAAGAAAGTACAATAATATTGATGTAAACTCAAGAAATAGGAAAGAGACTCTTTCTATGTACAAAATAAGCTTGTATCTTTTGGCAGCCAGACTTTTTTCTCCCCTGAGCCCAATTTCTGATGCAGTTAAAAGGAAGAGGAATATGTTCCCCTGAAATCACAGAATCATAGAATAGTTTGGAACCCAGCTGTGAACCTTGAGAGATCTTGCTTTCTTTCTCACTTTCAGAAATCTCAATTTCTGTCCTTCAAGTAATAGATAATAGTGAATTTGAGATATGGCTTCCCAGTTTCTGCAAAATTTGCAAATAAGAACTTTCTACAGAGAGATACCCCCAGATGTAATTCTTAAGCATGTTTTTATTTGCTCTGCTTTTTGGAGTTAGAGGGGAGATCTTGCTAGGGGTATGTTTAAAATATTTAGCAAGCAGATATAAGCTTATTCTGTTCACCCTTGGTGCAATTCAGGTAGCTGTGATGAGCAGAGAACAGTACATAAAATAACAAATCCTACCAACAGGCACAGTGTGAATTTAGCACTAAACTGCTATACCTGTTCCCTTCCTTGGCAGCCCTGAGAAGGAGCAGAGCGGGTTCGTGTGTGCCTGTAAAATACCACATGAATATGGAAACTCCTTGTTCACCACAAAGGTCTGGCAATTGTAAAAGATTAATGGAACAAATTAGATTAGAGCCAAATGATTTTACATTTCAGTAAAGAAGTGCTGTAATTATCTTAAGTTATTTAATAGAGAAAACAAATTACATTTAATTGAGTCATAACAAAATATAACATCTTTTGTAATGACTAAGTCCTGTTTATTTCTGTCCAGACATTCAAAACATTGTTTTACAGAATAATGAACTTTTGCTTTGGCTGAAAACCATAAACATGTAAGCACATGGGAAAGTTTGAATGACTATCAATGTCAAATAACTTTCTTTGGGGTATTTAAACATTTTTATCTTAAAAAAATTAATGAAGCATTCTAGACATTAATTTGCACTGAAGTATGGAAATTGTCCAGGTAGTATCAAAAAGGAAATTAATTACAAAGTCTGAAAATTCCCAGAGAGATTATGAACATGAAACCTGAGAGTACAAGTGAAATTTCTGAGATTTTTGGAATAATGTTATGATTTCTCTTGCAAAAATTCAGAAAATGCAGCATACTTATCAGCCTAGACCTTTTCAAGTCTTTTCTTCGTAAAGAAAAGGTTTCCCAGAAAGAGAGGAAGCCCTCTGTCCTTTAATAGTGAGGGTGCAAGGAGGGAGTTCAGGGTTGTTAGTCTTTCTGTCATATGAATTGCTGTTTTCAATTTCCTTCCACTTAGTCACCTATTCCAAATGCCTAATTAATTTCCTAATCCAGTTCATATTTGGTGGGTTGGGCTGATTGCTGCTTGTAGATGTGCTTATGTGACACCTGCTTGCAGTGCTGGAAATCTGTGATAGTGTCATATAACAGAGTCTGTCTGCTTCTCCTAACACAAGAGATCTAATGTTTTTTGGGTTTTCTTACCAGAGGTGCACTGCTAAAATTTAAAACAAAATGAGTTTGAGGGATCTGATGAGAATCACTGCCTGTAAATTGCAAGCAGTCACCGATTTGCTTTACCTCTGCTTTTCAGCACCTCTCTTTGTTCACTCAGTCCCACTTTGGTTTTGCTTCTTAAACCGCCCCCAGCTTTAACACAGAGCCTTTTCCTCTGCAACAGGCTGTCAGCCTTTCTTTATCTCTGAGCATAATAACACTACCAAAGAGGACGTAATTTTTTCATACCTAACTTATAGTACCTTAATTTTACTCTAATGTCATCTCTCATTAATTCGAATACTAGTTAATTAAGCACAGAAATGATTTTTAAATCAAAATGCCTTTTAAAATAGAATTATCCTGAACTATGTTGTTTCATTTGTTACTTTTTTGCTCATAAAAAACGGTCAAATATGACTTTCTCGTTAAACCCTTGCTGGTTAATACTTCTTATGTAACAGGCAACCAGGTACCAAAGTCTAAAATGAAATAAAATCTCCTCTTAAAACTAAGAAAATTTGGAATTATTAATTTGAAATTTATGAAAGTTTCTTGTCTGATAAAACTTAACGGAGGTTTTTGACCTATAGTCCAAGAGGAACAAACAAAGGGGGAAAAATATCTAGATATGTGAGGATCAGCATTATTAAGAAAGGCAAAAATGGTTCTTCAGCTGAGAATCTGAATAGACTTGATAAGAGCTTATTTAAAGGCTGTAATAAATATGTATGAATATATGCTGAAATCTATCAGGAAAGATTTCTTGAAGGGGAAATGTAGAATGAGCTGTAGTCACAGACATTATGTCTCAGAAGTTTTAAAAATAACTAGTAGCTAAAGTGCTGAAATTATCAACAAGGTAATAATATATTATTGACTTTGCTGCAGACCAGTCCAGAGATAAATTACCTGGTAAGACTTCTGGATATTTTATCTTTATTCCTGATATATCACCACTAAGAGCACTAGCTTTACTGTCTGTATCACCGATGGAAGCTTTATTATCTATATTTACAGTGAAAAAGGACGTTGGGAAAATAATGTTTTTTGTGATACCATGTGAATCTCGAAACTGTGACTATGCCACAACTGGAGCTATAGTAGTAGCTTTTTATAGTCAGGAGTGTTTTAATGATCAATAAATATTTTCATATTAACAACAAACTATTTAGTTTTGTAGAGACAGCCTTTGCTAAAGACAGCCTCAACATTTCTGCTTCTTTTTTTCTCCAGGGCACAATACAGAACTATGATAGCAACTGGAGGAGTCATAACAGGACTGGCTGCCTTAAAAAGGCAAGACTCTGCCAGATCTCAGCAACATGTAAATCTTGCTGGAGTACCAGTTCCTGAGGAGAAGAAGCCAGTTCGGCGGCGGCCAAGGACAGATGTAGTAATTGTCAGGGGCAAAATCCGTCTCTATTCTCCATCGGGATTCTTTCTTGTTTTGGGAGTGCTTATCGCATTCTTTGGAATTGCAATGGCCATCCTTGGATACTGGCCCCAGAAGGAGCAGCTGTTAGGCTCTGAAGATAATCCATCTGTAAATGAAACCCGGACCCCAAGAAGCCAAGGAAGCATTTTGCTTCGCTTCTTTGAACAGCACGTGCACTCGGATAAGATGAAAATGCTGGGACCTTTCACTATGGGCATTGGAATCTTCATTTTTATCTGTGCAAATGCCATTCTCCATGAAAACCGTGACAAGGAAACAAAAATTATACACATGAGAGACATATACTCCACTGTAATAGACATCCACACCCTGAGGATCAGGGAACAAAAGCAGCTGAGTGGTGCCTTCACTGGCTTGTTGGGGGAAGCAGAACTCCGGCACAGCGGGAGCTCCTGTGCAGCACGGCTGGCTGCGAACACGGTTGCGCCTTTCTCTGGCTTCAAGAGCAATCTTAGAATGGATAGTTCTGCTGAAGAAGATGAGATTACCCTAAATGAAGATAGGACCACTAGTAGCCTCCTGCCACCTCTGCTGGCTGAGCAATCTGGTTCAGTCTTTGGACTTTACCCTCATTCCAGCAAGGCTTCAGATGACAAAAACACTAACTCTATAAAGTGTGAAACAAAATCCATTGTATCTTCTTCCATTAGTGCTTTCACACTGCCAGTAATTAAACTGAATAACTGTGTTATAGATGAACCCAGTATAGACAACATAACTGAGGACTCAGAGATCACCAGGAGTCAGTCTAGAAATCTGTCAATGGATTCTCTTGCAATTCCACTAACTGATACCAATGAATCCTACAGACCAGCTGCTTCCATGCTGCCACGACACAATTCATTTGTGGACACTCCATCTGATCCCTTCAAATCTTCTATGACTCTTGGACCAAGCACAGGAAAGCTTTTATCTCCTGGTGCTGCCAGGAAGCAGTTTGGTTCCAACACATCTTTGCATCTTCTGTCTTCACATTCTAAGTCCCTGGATTTGGACAGGGGTCCATCTACGCTCACTGTCCAAGCTGAACAAAGGAAACACCCCAGCTGGCCCAGACTGGATCGGAGCAACAGTAAAGGCTATATGAAACTAGAAAACAAGGAGGACCCAATGGATAGGTTACTTGTGCCACAAGCAGCAGTCAAGAAAGACTTCACTAATAAGGAAAAGCTTCTTATGATATCAAGATCTCATAATAATTTGAGTTTTGAACATGATGAGTTTTTGAGTAACAACCTGAAGCGAGGAACTTCTGAAACAAGATTTTAATATTTAAATTGCAATTTAGAAGATATCATATGGTATTTTTTAAAAAAGCATTTTGACAAGTGTTTCCTTTTCAGTGAGACTGTACAAGCCTGTTCTTAACCAAATGCTTAATAGCCCATTAAAATTGGCTTGTGCGAACAGAGATCTTCATCATAGTAAAACCAAGGGTTTCTTGTCTCAGTAACATTCGGCTGCAATACTGTACATTGTCATTGCTTGGACAGTTTTGTTACGACTGATTCCAATTATTCCCAAGTCACTATCTCTTTTGTTCTATATACGCATGTTACTTTTCACCGAAAGAGACTGCATTAGGAAAAAAAGCTCAATTTGCCTGTAAGTTCTCTTGATTTAAAGACTGCAAGAGACTGAAAGCAATGGTCTTGTGGTCTAGAATGGGAAGTGAACAGGAGCACATACTGGAATTGTGAAATCCAGAGCTTTATTCCTAGGTGTTGTCTTTCACTTGCAGTACATCTCAGAAACTGCAGTCTTGCCATTGTCATAGTGAGAAACTTGTTTACATACTGGGGTGGGTGGATAGAAAAGAGTGGATATAATAAAACCATTTTTGTGAATTCACTGTAATTGATCAAGTGAATACCAGTGTTGTGAATTATTAACTATGCTTTGTACAATAATCTTTCTACATCCATTGTAATTTAATCCTGTAATTTTGGAAAAGCATACATAAAGTAAGAAATCTGAATTTTTTTCTGGGATTTAGTCTTTAAACCACTTTGATTGGCAGCAGTTTTAAAATCAAAATAGAAAGATTCAATTAAAATCTTAGGAAAATGATGAATGCCAACAGGATTTTAGAAACATGGTGTATAATAAGATGATATTGTAACTTGCATCTGAAGGCAATAATGGAGAATGAATATATTGCCTCTCATTACAATAACAGGATGCTAAGTAACTAGATCTCTATGTTCAAGATACTGATACAAAGCATACAGTTCAATACCTATACTAACATAGTATGAAAGCCCCTTGCCTAAATTTTTATTTATATATTTCACATAATTATTGGTATTATGGTTTACCGAAGGCTTAGCTGTGTCAATTTGCATGACAAGATTTTGCAAAAGGAATTGACATTTTAAACAATGTTTTTCTCAGCAAAGCAAGCTTCACAGTTGACAGTTGTAGGCTATTGCTAAAGAAAAGGAGAATTGGAATGCGTGTATCAGAAGGTTTTCATGTATTTCATTGCTGTTTAGGCCATGATTCTGCCATTACAGCCACGTTAGAGAATGTCCCTTCAAAGCTGCAAGGCTCACCCAACAGAGTGTTGGTCTTAATTGGCCGGATTTGATATATTCACTTACCCTAAGTACTCAGGAATTATTTTTAATGGCTTTTCCCAAAAAGAATCAAGCTTGTTAAAATGTTGTAATTTCTCAATTACTTAGATTATGAAAGATCAAGGATAAAATACCTTTTCTCTTTTTTTTTTTAATGAAATATTCAGCTCCGTATTTCAACTGTGCAATGTTTATGTATCAGGAGCATTACTTGCTCGATGAGTTGAGGCATAGTGTTAACTGTTAGAACCTCAAGCCTATATATTGTAACAGAGTTGGCTAAATATTTTGCTATGAAGCTTTTAATAACTCACTGGTTTGTGTTCTTAAGACATTTGCTATTTTTTGCAATAAAATGTCTCTCTACACATGTCTGTTGTAAGACCTGGTTTTTCCTCCATGATCTCTAATCTTACATACCAAAGTATAATTGGGTATCATGACACTGTACACAACATTGGCCTAAATTACTAGCCTGCTGCAAGATACATCTTCCTGAGTAATTGATTTCAGTCACATGTCTACACATGGAAAGGCTGAACGCTTTTTTACTGATGAAATGTGAAATGTATTTAAAGTGGTTTTGCTATGAGAAACTTTGTATAGAAAGAACATCATGCTCTTTTTAGTTTGGCAGTAAGTATTATTTTAAAAATGGAAAACACTATTAAAGATTTGAATGATGTATGCTTTTTATTTCCTTAAGAGCTACATTAAATCACAGCTTAAAAGACTTTTCACATACTATCACATGTGGGAATGGTAGTTCCTTTGTAAGTATAGCAGGGGATGAACTTTTAATTTTAACACAGATAGTAGGTACTGAAAAATGTACTCACTTGGGAAAAATTTACCAATGTAAAGCTATCAAAATAGCTTTCTTTCATAAAGAAACTTCATGCCTGACAGACCAACTACAAAAATGTTCCCATATTAACATAAAATGAAGTATTTCATTCAGATAATCACAGGACTGTTGGAGTTGAAAGTGACTTGTGGAGAGGTCATCTTGTCCACCCCCCTTCCTGTTCAAGCAGAGCTGTTTCACAATGTAGAGCTGGTTGCCCAGAACTATGTCAAGATGATTTTTGCATAATCCCAAGGAGAGTGGCCTCACCACCTCCCTTTGTGACCTGTGCCAGTGCTTGGTCACCCTTATAGCAAAAGAGATTTCCTAATGGTCATAGGCACCCTCCTGCATTTCACTTTGTGCCCATTGTCCCTTGTCCTGACTCTTGCCAGAGCTTGGCTCCTTCTTTTTTGTACCTCCTTTAGGTATTTGTATGAGATCCTCTGGAGCCCTCTCTAGGCTGAGCAGTCCCTGCTGGTTCAGCCATTCCCCATAGGTCCCTTCATCATCTTTGTGGCCCGTCACACAATCAGCTCCAGTATGTCCATGTCTTTTTTTGTTCTGAGGAGACTAGAACTGGACCCAACACTCCAGATGTGGCCTCACCAGTGCTGTGTTGAGGGAAAGGCTCAGCTCCCTTCAGGCTTCATGTAGGACACTGCATAGTTCCATATTCCTTAGGTAGTTCCAGCTTGAGCTCAGGTTGGGAAAATTTGTAAAAGTTCACAAGTCCTGAACATAGTCAGACATCAGAAACTGAAGTAGGGCAAAGATGTCTGGACCCTTTGCAATACACGGGGGTATACAGGAACCTTACAGTGGCCAAAATGGGAGCTATGTGCTGTTGGCAAGTAAGGAACTGATAAAGACAAAAGCATGTGTTAAATTGTATCTTTAATCTATAAATATCCTATTCAGTTTCTGACACTGTTCACAGACTTTTAAAAATACGATTTCCATTATTGATGTGTAGCCCCACAATTAGTTTCTCAGATACATTGCAGTGTGAAAAGCCAAAGTCAGGGCAATTTTGTCATCAGAGGAAATAATTGTGGAGCTACACCACAAACTTTTTCCTAGAATAAGATAAATCTTTCATCTATTCAGATGACCTGTTATGGTTCTGCATCCTTTATATGTAGTAACTCCAAAAAAAAATTTAGATCATACAAACAATGAGCTTTGTCCTTCCTCTGCCTAAGACTATTAAAAAATATACTTTCTACTACTTCAGTAAGCTTTTTAATCACTGCCTGTGGATCAGACTGATGGTTACGTCTGCCCCTCCTGAACAAAGCACATTTTTTGGTCAAGTTTCATCAGGAAATAAAGAGCAGTACTCTAAAATGATAGGTTTACAATGCTGGGTTACAATCTCTTCCAGAATTGCTTCTGTATTTTACATGAAGTGGTTGCTGGATAAAATCCGTGAAACCGGGCTTGGGTTCTTGACAGGTTGATAGTTTAACTACTCCCTGGTGATTCCAATTTACTCTCCCTGGGAGGCAAGGAACCAAACCCTTCTTGCAGAGCAGTGCCGAGTTCTGCAGGAGGGATCGACAAATGCTTTCAGCTGCTCAATTGTACGTGGCTTAATGGATGGGAAGGGATGAGTTTTGTCAGCAGCAGAAGGGCTTCGGCACAGTGTTACTCATCGTGATGGCTGCCCTAAGGCTGGAGCTGTGTAAAGGATGGAAAGGTGATCTGGCACCCTCAGTATGGTTTTGGAAGTGGAATTTTATGTTATTAACTGAGCAGAATTGTTGAGTTTGCCAGGTTTGGAGGTAGGGTCCTGCCTCTTACATTACCTAAATAATCTTTTTTGCAACTGTATTATATTGCTTTTCTCAGATCCTAAGTTGGTTTTGCTCATTCGTAAAATGCAGCATTGCTGGTCCTGTAGTTTCTCCTGAGAAAAATTTGAGAAATAGGTTTAGACTGCTGCAGCAGCTTCTCTCTGAAAAGACTTTCATTCTGCTTATGGAGTTCCTGGATTGTTTTAGTCTTATACTCTTAAATTATTTCTTTATATGAGTTTTTTCTAATCCTTTCCAGGAAATTCTGCCTTCATCTTCCCAGCACTTTTTTTTTTTTTTGTTAATTTTCCTACAAAATATGGTATTGTGATGAGCAAGTATAAATCTTCTAGTAAGACTGTGCATGTGTATATGAGAGTGCAAATGGAATAAATAGCCTATTACAATGTAGGAGTGCTTTATTTAATATGATTTAGCTACTCAAGGGCAAGCCCTTTGTCTAAACCTTTTCAAATTAAACTCAGGAGCAAATTGATTGCAGTTATCACAGCTATTCTGTTTAACTTTCAAGTGCCACTTATTAATTCCTCCATCCATATTCTATGTATGGCCATATTGGTTTGTATTTCAGGATTCAGTATCTGAAATAAACCTCAAGTATTTTACACATTCAGTAAAGCCCATTTCTTAACAGTATTACTTTTCTGAGTAACAGTTGGCAGAATTACAACTCTAAGTCTCATTAGGAATGGAAATGGGATAGTTGGAATACTTTTATTTTAGAATAGCCAGCAAGTCAAGGGAGGGGACTCTGCCCCTCTGCTCTGCTCTGGGGAAGCCCCATCTCCAGTGCTGCATCCAGCTCTGAGGTCCTGGCACAGGAAGGGCATGGACGTCTTGGAGTGAGGTCATCAAGTTGATCAGAGGTCTGGAGCACCTTTCCTATGAGGAAAGGCTGAGAGAATTGGGGTGGTTCAGCCTGGAAAAGAGAAGGCTTCAGGGGGACCTAATTGTGGCTTTCCAGTACCCGAAGGGAGCATACTAGAAAGGTGGGGCAAGACTATTTACAAGAGGACAAAGTGACAGGACAGGGGACACGTGTTCAAATTGAAAGTGAGTAGGTTTAAATTAAATATTAGGAAAAAATGTTTACTGTGAGGGTTGTGAGGCACTGGCATGGATTGCCAGGAGAAGTTGTGGATGCCTTATTCCAGGAGGTGTTCAAGGCCTGGTTGGATGGGGCTCTGAGCAAGCTGGTGAGTTGAAGGTGTCCCTGCCCATGGCAGAGGGTTTGGAACTAGATGATCTTCAAGATTCCACTCTGAGCCAAATGAAAAAAGAAAAAAGTTAATTGAAAGTGAAAAAAAAAGCATCTCACTGTATTAAATAAAAATCTGTATGTCTAATCTCTTGTGTTGGTTCTAATTCAGGTAGATAATGCTTTAGCGGAGTTGTCTACAGCCTCTGTGAATTGTCCATAGGAAGAAGCATAAAGCCATTGTTTCTCCTTATCGGTTTTTACTCCAGCTAGTGTAATTATTCAGGATAGCGTTCACAGAAACATCTAATCCATTTCTGAATCCCACTAAGCCTTTCAGTTCACTGGTATAATTTCAAAAACTACTGCAGATTAATTATGAGTTGCCAGTAAATATATTTCCCTTATCAGCTGGCAATTCTTATCATCGTTGTAATTTCATTGCAACAGCCAAAGGCTCCAATATTAAAAAAATTGTTCCAGGAATAACCTCATATCCCATGTAAATATATTGATATTTCTGGGGGTTAGTTTTTCATATTTTAAAAGAAATTAATCACTTAATTGGTCAGAGCTATCCTGTGATTCACAATACAATTTGTTTAGCACTATGATCTTTTTGTACTCACAATAGGTTCCTACTTTGTAGGCAATACTATATCTGGTTTTGGCCTCTAAATTACATGGGTTTTTCACTTTTATTATTATATTCCATTTCATTCCAGCCCATTCAGTTTTCCTTCTGATCTCTGTTGTATTGATGACACTTACCTATTCAGTGCAGCCCAACAGGCGTAGATATGTACTTGTTCCAAGGGCTCACTGACCATCCTTGTTGCATTTTAGAGACTTTACTTGACTATATCACACTTGGGTTGGTTAGACTGAACATCCTTTGATGACTGGAATATGTTATGGGCTTCTGGAGCACAGCTCCTCATTTATTTGCCTCTGTAGGGAGTCCAGTGTGTGCTGTGAGATTTCTCTTTGGGGTGAACTGAAGTGTGGTACACGAGGCCAACTTGGTGATTTATTTCAAAGGAACACAACCAACCTCAAAAAACCATTTTTCTCAGCCACACCCTCACTGACTTCTGAGACTTGCATCAGCACAAATGTACATTTTCCATAGATCTGATAATAAATGCGATCTGGTAAGATCAGTTTCATGTCATCCTTTAAAAACCTCGTTGATTATCTCCCTGAAGCCTTATACACCTCCTTCCAGCCCAATCTGCAACCTCCCATTTGATACTCAGCATATTTTTCCTCCACATTCTCTTCTCCATTTTGGATAATGATTTCACATGTACTACTGTATGAAATGCTTTGCTTAAGTCAGAGCAGATGAGTTCTACTGTGTGTTTTGTCCAGAAAATAATAATTTCAAAAAGAGATACTAGTTCAGTGTAGCACATCTACTCTGCATGTTACCCTGCTTCCTATTTTCATTCTAGTCTCTAGTGCCTTGATTTTTTGTTTTTCTGAAGCCTTCCATATGACCT